GAATCATTAGAAAGTGAAATAGCCTAACTGCTGCTATGGAGAAAGTTTCAGTGATATAGATAGAAGATCAAACCAGCCATAACATTCCCTTAAACCAAAACCTAATACAGAGCAAGGCCCCTAACTCTCTTTAATTCTATGAAGGCTGAGAGGTAAGAATGCTGCAGAAGAAAAATCTAAGGCTAACAGAGGTTGGTTCATGGGATTTAAGGAAAGAAGCTGTTTCCATAACATAAAAGTGCAAGGTGAAGCAGCAAGTGCTGATGGAGAAGCAGCAGCAAGTTATCCAGAAGATAGGACATGGACATCTTAGCCGGGGCGGGGGAAAGTTATCCAGAAGATCTAGCTAAGATAATTGAAGATGGCTCTATTAAACAACAGGTTTTCAATGCAGACAAACCCTTCTATTGGAAGAAGATGCCATCTAGGACTTTTCTAGCTGGAGAGGAGAAGTCAATGCCTGGCTTCCAAGCTTCAAAGGGCAGGCTGACACTCTTGTTAGAGTCTAATGCAGCTGAAGCTGAAGCTAATGATCATCTACCATTCCAAAAATCGTGAAGCCCCTAAGAAACTGCCACAGCTACCCCAACTTTCAGCAACTACCACAGTGAGGCAAAACTCTCCATCAGCAAAAAGATTACAACTCACTGAAGGCTCAGATGACTATTAGCATTTTTTTTTTAGTAATGAAGTATTTTTAAATGAAGGTATACACATTGTTTTTTCAGACATAATGCTATTGTACGCCTTAATAGACTACAGTATAACATAACTTTTATATGCAATGGGAAACCAGAAAAATTGTGTGACTCACTTTATTGCAACATTCACTTTATTGTGACATTTGCTTTATTGCAGTGGTCTGGAACTGAACCCACAATATAATGAAGATATGCCTATATTTTTTAAACTTAATTGGATTGGCCTAATAACAAACATCAGAAAGTATTCACTACACATACCACCTTAATCATTTATATAAAGCTATGAACTAATGAAAAAAGGATAGTCCTTTTTACACAGATTTTCAGTCTTGAGCTGAATCAATACCAAGTGTTTGCTTTTTAACAAATCTTTTATATTTGTACTTCTATAATGAAAGGAGTCATTGGGTGATAAATATTCTAAACAATTGCTCTTATGTGATTTAAAATCTGTTCTTTGTTCACATTTGGAATTAAGGCTGTTCTCTATGGAAACCAAATTATGAGAGCCATCATGTGAAATAAAGTATACAAGCAGAACTGGCAACTTGCTCATTTTAACTTTCCTTTGACCCTGCTGTGATGCTGAGCAGACATTATTCTAAGCAAAGCTGCTCTCACACAGCCACAATGTATTTTCTCCCACATGTATGACAGAGTTTACCTGTTAAGGCGGCTATAAGTAATTTTTCCCTCCCTCCATACATGCTGCTCCACCCATCAAGTGCTGGAATTTACTTCCCCCCTTCTCTAGAATCTGAGCTACCCTTATAACTTGTCTTGATCAGCAAAATATAACAGAAGGGATATTGGCCAGTTCTGGGCCTAACCTTAAGAGTTTCTGCTTTCTCTCTAAAGGAAGTCGGCCACTATAGGAGAAGTCTAATTACCTGAAACTACCATGCTATAAGAAAGCCTAAGCTAGCTACCCATGTAGAGAGACTATGTGGAGAATTGAGGAATTCAGCTGACAGTGAACAGACACTTCAGACACTCGACTCCAGTCAAGCTGTCTAATGTCTGCAGCCTTTTGAGCTCTCT